ATCAGTTGTAAAAGATTTCCCATAAGTTTACTAAGGTTCTCTGAAAAGGACAGTATTTAAACACATAGAAAAGTTTAATGTATTCTGATGCTTCATACCAGTGAAGCCCGCGTTTCCTTTAGATGCTGCTAACTTTAGCATTTCCCACGCGGCCGCCTCTTTCCAGGGTAGCTGCTAACTAGGAAATCTGTGGGACTCTCTCTCTCTCTCTCTCCTTCATCCAGAAACGTGCAGAGCTGACGTGCTGACATGCAGTGAACAGGACATACTGTATAATGAAAACTCAACCAAGCAGCAGGTAGAACTTATTCACCTATGGAGGTAAAGAAAATGCTTTTCCCAGAATTCTCTTAAGGAGAGCCCTGTCTGGGATTGAAGAAATATTTTAAAAGGTCAATATGGGGCTTCCCTGGTGGCGCAGTGGTTGAGAGTCCGCCTGCTGATGCAGGGGACGCGGGTTCGTGTCCCAGTCCGGGAGGATCTCACATGCCGCGGAGCGGCTGGGCCCGTGAGCCATGGCCGCTGAGCCTGCGCGTCCGGAGCTCCGCAATGGGAGAGGCCACAGCAGTGAGAGGCCCGCGTACCGCAAAACAAAAACAAAAACAAAAACAAAAAGGTCAATATGGTCTTGAATGCTAGGCATGAAATAAGGAGGGCATTGGTCTTGCTCTTAAGAGTGAAAAAGAAGATGAGAGTAAAAGAGAAAATGAGGGAGAGAGATGATCTACAAAAATGGAGAGAGGCCCTTGGAGTCAGCCGTGCAAAGTTGGAATATTCAACAATAATGACAGTGAACATTTACATAGCATTTACCATGTACCAGGCTCTATTCTTCCCATGTATATACTCACATAATTCTAATAACAGCCCAATGAGGTGGATACTATTATTATTCCCATTTTACAGATGAGCAACTGCATCACAGAGCAGTTAAGTAACTCGCCTGAGGTCACACAGCTAGTGAGCACTGGAGTCAGACTTCAAGCCCAGACAATTTAGCTCTGGAGCTCTTTACTGCCTCTGGAAACTTCTAGAATGCTTTGTGTGACAGGTTTTTGCTGTAGAAACTGAAGAGGAGGTGAGTTTCATGCTGGGGATAATGTGGGGACAGGGAACAGCAAGGAGCCTGGGGGCCTAAGTCCCCAAATTTGCAGAAATCTTCAGAAATGAGCGTTTGAGGTTATCTCAGGAAACTCTCACGAAGGCTCAGAGATCTGGCTTATGTTCATCAATGACGATGATATTATCTGCACTCACTGGGCTCATGCTATATGCTAAGCATTTTATATTTAATATCTCATCAAATCCATACAATGCTTCTATGATGGAAGGACAAGTGTAACTCCACTTTATAGAAAAGGAAAATGAGGCTGAGGGCAACCTGTCCCACATCTCACATCTTGTTGGTGTCAGAGCCGGAGAGTCACCCCAGCCCCTACCCCTGGGCCCCCTGCTGCCCCTGGTTTCCGCGTGTGAACCCTGCTGGGTGCACAGCCGGCCGCGTACCTAGCAATAGCGCCTGCTGAGCCTGCATCCTCTCCAGCTCTCCCTGGAGCTCTTGCTGGGCCTTCTCCTCCAAGGCCTGTAGCTCTAGCCGGTGTGCCTGGTGCTGGATCTGGAGGCTGCGGCTGGATTCCTTCTTCAAGCGCTCCTCTGTGGCCTGTGGGCAAAAGTGGGAGGAAGGAGGCATGGAAGTGGGCACAGAGGGGAGACCTGTCCCTTTTGCCTAGCTCCTCCTCTGTGCTGGGGCCCCCGCCCTGAGCACTCACCACTCCCTGATGGAGAGCTTATCAGGCTACAGTGAATGCTCCCCTGCCCATCTGGAATGACAGTGATGGTCTGGCCATAGCAGCCATTTTGTGCTGTGTGAACCTAACCCCTGTTCACAGCTGACTGGACCAGAGTGGACACCTGATTCAAGCTGGGTCAATCGTTGGGAATTTGGTGTTAGGAGGAAGAGAGCAGGAAAGAGACAGACAGACACTGGCTATAGGAAAAGCAAGAAAACACGTTCTCCCCTATAGGGCCCTTAGAAGGGACACAGCCCTGCCAACACCTTGATTTTAGGATTTCTGACTTCTGGCTTCCAGAACTGTCAGATAATAAATTTGTGCTGTGTTCGGCCACCAAGTTTGTGGTAATTTTGCTACAGCAGCAGTAAGAAACTAATAGTTTCTCTTTTTTTGGCAACAGAGAGTTCCAGTATCACATACCACTCTTCAGGTGAGGAAACTGAGGCTGGGAGGGATGAATTAACTTTCCCAAGGTCACACAGAAAAGATGCAGGATTAGGAGGAAAGAAGCTCGGAAAGGTGAAGCGCCATGACTGAAGACAGGTAGTGGCGGGGGCAGGGGTGTGACCCATGGGCGGCGGCATCCAGGGCCCAAGCCCTACCCGCTCCCTCATGCAGCCCCTGGGAACAATGAGAAATAGGACTGCGGCAAATGCATGAGGCTCCCATTAGGGGTGAGCAGGCAAGGCAGCTACCTGAAGACCGCAGCGTCTTTGCTTTGCTGCTCCCCAGCAAATGGGGAAAAACGGTCTTACTCCTCTCGTGGGAAACTCAGTCATCCCCTGTTGAGTTTAATAAGACAGAAAAGTCTTGCACTTTTCAAACTCTCCGATACTCTCCTCCTCTTGCACTTGCTGCAAGGCTCAGAGAACTCCAACTGGTGACCTTTTTATCCCTCGGGGAATGTGAATGGAGAGATTGAAGCAAAGGTTTGTAAAAGATGGAGCCAAACTCTCTCACTCTGACCCGGCATCTTCAGGTCAGCCCTGCCTGCCTTCCGGCTCAGAAGCCCTTGGCAGTGAAGACCATGCAGGGTTTAGCCGCCAGATTTTCTATCAAGTCAGACCCTCATCCCTGGCAAATTGCTCTAGCCTCTTGTTTGCCTTGCTCTTGTTGTGGCTGGTTTGGGGCCTCCTAAGCGGCCTGACTTCACCCCCAACTCTCCATGTTCCATCCTATATAAAGTCTCCTTCCCCTGTGCTCCCAAAATTCCATGCGCGGCCATCTCATGGCTCCAATTTACTGAATTACAGCAACCTGTTTGAGTGGCTGCCTTTCTCCTTAGAGGTGAGCTCTTTATGGGCAGACTGTGTTAATCATCTTCATATATCCTGACCTCAGCACGATGGTAGCCCAAGGTAAATGCTCAACAGAGCATGAGTAAGAAGAGTGGATCTTCTTAAAATTGAGCTCTTCTATGGACTGAATGTTTGTGTCCCCCCACCCCCAAAATTCATATGTTGAAACCTATTCCCCAATGTGATGGAATTAGGAGGTGGGGCCTCTGGGAGGTGCTTAGGTCGTGATGGTGGAGCCCTCGTGAATGGGATTAGTGCCCTTATACAAGAGACCTCAGAGAGAGCTCCCTTCCTCTTCTGCCATGTAAGGTTATAGTGAGAAGATGGCCATCTATGAGCCAGGAAGCAGGCTCTCAACACACCCCATATCTGTCCGAGTCTGAGACTTGGACTTCCAGCCTCCAGAACTGTGGGAAGTAAATTTCTGTTGTTTATAAGCCACTCAGCCTATGTTATTCTGTTAGAGCAGCCTGAACAGACTAAGACAAGCTCTTATTCAGTCATGTACTGTTCTAAGCACTTTACGTGGATTATCTCTTTTGACGCTCTCAGTGGTCCTATGTGGTACATACTATTAGCCATCATTTTATGAATGAGGAACCTGAGGCACAAGGAAGCCTAAGCTCTCTTTCCTCTTAAGTGGCAGACCCAGGATTTGAACCCAGGCATCCCACTCTTAATCACTATCCTGTGTTAGGAATGACCAGATGTCTGCCATCTCCAACGAGAACTGCAACCTGTCTCTTTTGTCTCATTCTGGAACCATCCCATGAAGACTGAAGCCAGCAATAAAGACCCCGTGAATCTGGTTCCAGGGTGACCAGGGACTGGGGCTTAGAACCGCAGGGTCCCCCCAATGGGCAGAGCACCCTCCCCCTCTCCCACCACCAGATCTTCCTTCCTCCAATCAGTTGGAGGCCCTGGGACACCTCCCTTGCAGGTGGGCCAGCCCTCTGTGCTTCCTCTGCCTCCTGCAGGGGATTGAGGCCTAAAGCCTGGAGGGGTAAAGCTCAGGCCAACCCAAAGGCTGGCATGACCCAGCAGCAAATAACCTGGGAATCTCGGCAGCCTGAGCCCTTATAGATTGCAAGCCAACCTGGAAAAAGATTTAAGAGAATAAAGGAAGAAAAGGAACTCACAAATTTTATAAATTTATTTATTTATTTATTTTTGGCTGCATTGGGTCTCCATTGCTGCGCGTGGGGCTTTCTCTAGTTGTGGCGAGCGGGGGCTACTCTTCATTGCCGTGCGCGGACTTCTCACTGTGGTGGCTTCTCTTGTTGCGGAGCATGGGCTCTAGGCACGCGGGCTTCAGTAGTTGTGGCTCACAGGCTCAGTAGTTGTGGCACATGGGCTTAGTTGCTCCGCAGTATGTGGGAACTTCTTGGACCAGGGCTTGAACCCGTGTCCCCTGCACTGGCAGGCGGATTCTTAACCCCTGTGCTACCAGGGAAGTCCCAGAACTCACAAATTTTGAACACCTACTAAGTGCCAAGCAGTCCACATTGCATGATCTCATTTCTTTTTTCTTTTCTTTTTTTAAAAAGCCTATTTTATATATTTATTGGGGCAATACATGCACATAGTATAAAGAATCAAATAATATTTTCAAAAAAGGAAAACCAGCACTTCTTAGCCCTCTTTCTTCCTCCTTCTGCATCCTGCCCACTGGAGGCAGCCACTGGCAACTCCTGTAGTTCTTTCTTCTGATATTTACCGCCATTAACAAGATAGTACCTTCCTACTGCTCTTTTTTTTTTTTTTTTTTTTGCGGTATGCAGGCCTCTCACTGTTGTGGCCTCTCCCGTTGCGGACGTGCAGGCTGAGCAGCCATGGCTCACGGGCCCAGCCGCTCCGCGGCATGTGGGATCCTCCCGGACCGGAGCACGAACCCACGTCCCCTGCATTGGCAGGCGGACTCTCAACCACTGCGCCACCAGGGAAGCCCCGCTCTATCTTGATTATTTTAGAAATTATGAATTGTCTTCCCATTATGGTGGATGAGGATTTTGGTCTCATACATTCTTCCCCTTCCATTCCTTATATACAGTTATCTTGCTTTTTTAAATACAGTAAAATATATTCAGTATTTATCCTTCTTGTGAGTAAGTACCATTTACTGCTGAGCTAAATGAACTATAATTATTAAAATCTACCTTATACATAGTTTTGTTTTTCCTTGCATTAATAACTACTGCATTTTTAATTTGCTTAGTTTTCTTTGGATATTTGGCTAAGTCTTCCTACAACCTCTAAAAGCTTTGTAAAATACTTTCACTACAATCTTTCACATGGCCAAATCGGTCAGAGAAACCATCAGGTCTATTTTTCCTCGGAGGCGTCTCTTCTAGAGCCCTCAATCATCATGCTCCAGTCTAGACTGAGTCGTTCCCTCAGCCAGTGGCATAGCTGGGCTCCTAAAACCTTCCTTCTCCTGTGTTGGATTCTCTGTAGCCTAGATCCCTTTTCTTTCCTCTTTCTTGATTTGCTTCCTTGTTTTGGTGGGATATTCTTCAAGGAACTTTCTAAGGAAAAGTGTACGGAAGATGTATGGGTCCAACAGGAGACAGAAACCACACAGTAATTTAAACAAGGGAAACTGAACCTAAAGAACTATTAAGCTCTGATAGGAGAGTAACTGTAGAGATGCAAAGAGAACTCTGAAGGGTATCCTGAGGCTGAGGGAGAGCATTCAAGAAAGGGAAAGCTTGGAAGGGAGAGCCCTTCCCCAGCCTGGGATCCAGACCTTGTTGGAGAAGGTGTGGTGGCAGCTCACGGATGGAGATCACCAGGTTGCCCAGGCCAGAGGCAAGCAGGAGTAACCCTCCACAGCGCTGGTGAGCCACAGATGGGCAGGTGCCCAGAGGGAACGGGGGCACCAATGCAGGCATGAGGGCCAGAGGGAACAGTGTTTGCCTTGGGAGCGTTGCAAGAAACAAACTTCTGAGGTGCAGGCAACAGCAGCCAACAGGCAGGAGCCCAGAAAGAGTCAGGGTGTGCAGGTGTGAGGATGGAGTCTGTGGTGTCCACATCGGGAGGCCACAGGATGGTAGTCACTGGGCCTGGACCAGGGCTACGAGATCACCGTGAAGTCACTGGGGGAGTATCACCTGATGTCCTCACACACCCAGAACTCTGTTCAACTGTGCAACAGAAGCCAGAAACAGAGGAAAAATGCAACTGCCAGAACCAGGAAGAGAAGCCTCCTTCTTCCTGCAAGGTGCCTCCAGCGCCTTCTACTGACAAAGCTTAACACTGTGCTCTCTGTAAAGGAGGAGAAATGCTTAAAGAATCCAGATCATTATCGCAAGCAGGCATCAAGAGCTGAGAGGCATAAACTGATAACAGAAGGTAAATGTCCTAATATTTCATTTGTCTGATATATTTTTATTCAATTTTCACTCTTGCTAATGGTTTTAACTGAATTTCTCAAAATTGCTTCATGATCTTCTTGCTTCCCTGTTGCTGTTGAGATGTCTGATGACATGTGGATTCAAGTACTTTGAGGCTGGTACCAGTTTTCCTCGTTGGGAGCTTTTAGAATTTCTTCTGTTTCCTTGGTGTTCTGAAGTTTCAAGACAAGCCTGGGTCGGGTCTTTTTCATTTCCTTATAGGAATTTCATTCTGTTATTTCTTTGAAAATCTCCTCCCCTCCATGATCTCTTTCTGGAACTCCTATTTGCTAGATATCAGCCTCCTGGATTGTGTTTCTACTCTTCTGGTTCCTTCTCTCCCATCATCCATTTCTTTGTCTTTCTACTTTGCTGTCTGGAAGGTTTCTTCATTTTCTATATTTCAACTCATTTACTGATTTTTAAGTTTTCTGCTATCCTGTTTTTTATTTTAAAAGAACTCTTTCTTGCTCTAATTGCCCCCTCCTTTGCAAATAACATGTTGTCCTTGTTTCATGGATGCAAATCTAATCTCTTAATTCTGAGGACATCAATCCTCATTGAATTTTTTTTTTCTGTTCCCCGCATTAGCCATTTCCTCTGAGTTCATTCTTTTCCTCTTAATAATCTTGGATTCCCACTCTCCCATTAGAGACTTCCTCGAAAGTTTAGTAATCTTCTGCTGTCTCTTCATATTTAAGAGTGGGCACTGAAGGATAATCAGAAACTCCATCTGTACCTGGGGTGGTGCAGCAGGGGGGCATCTGTTGGATGGTGAGTTCCTCTGGGGATCTCGGTTCTAGCTGCTTGTTTTCTGGAGCTGAGCAGAGAAAGCATTGCTGGGGGTGTGACAGAGGTGACTGTAGTCCACCGAATGGTTCAGTACACAGATTTTCACCTAAACTTAGTCTCAGATGCAAGCCTCATCCCAGCCTCTGTGACTGGTACTTCCTAATTCAGAGTCTCTCTGGCTTAGTTTACCCAGGGATCGCTGCCCCCACCCCAATCTCTTGTCCTTAAATAAGACAGAGGTAATTGGCTGCCTGTGCTGGGTAAGCTGGGAATCTGGGCTTCTAGGTGAGTCATACCCTCCACCTCACTCTTGCCTTCTGTTTCAACTGGTGCCTCCAATTCCTGGCTTCTCTGAGTTCCACTGTCAGCTTGATTCTCGTCCTTCTCTGTCTTCAGGCACTTTGGTTTGAGCCTCTCTGCTCTGCACGGTCATATACTATGTCTCCATTTGTTTCCTGTCCTCATATATTGTGGTTCAAGGGTACAGATGTCTCCCAGCTTCATCTGAACAGAATATGCTTCTGCTGTGTGTCTTTACTGGTTTTTTAGAGCATTTCCAATAGGAAAGAATTCAGAAGTCTTTATTTTGACACCTTAAAACCAGAACTCCCACGTTTTTTCATTTAATCATCTTGACATCTCAAACAAGTGGGTCTCAATATCCCCAATTTATAGAAGGAGAAATTAAACTTGAGGCTTTAATTCAATGAGACCCTTGAGTAGCTAGTTACTATGAGCTAGGAGAGGATTCGGTAATGGACAGGTGGAGATGGTTCCTGGCTTCAAGGGGCTTCCAGTTTGGTGAATTTGATCATATAAAGAGGGAATTAGCGTGTGAAGCCAGCCCGCTGTGTGAAGCCCGTAGTGACAGTGTGCTATCTGTAACAGAAGAGTAGGAGCCCATCTCCTGAGACAGCAGGGAGGGAAGGCCTTCTGAGAAAGCAGAAGGTAGAGGTGACAGGTGAAAGGGGCCTGAACCTCCCTGCTGATTACACATCGCCGAGGTCATCATTGTTTTCCAAGCCCTTCGGAAGGTCTATTTCTGCTGAGCTGGTCTTTCTCAACTCTGGGCTGCCCTCCTCTTTTCAGCTGCCAGGCTGAGCCTGACTCCTTAGCACACATCATGCATAACATTGCCCAAGTCATGAAAGAAAGTTGTTCTTACAATATCAAGATCATGGGCAGATGGGGAAAAGCAGTACCAGAAGCTCAAGGGACCTGAGTCTGAATCCTTGTCTTGCCACTTACTAGCTGTGTGACCCTGAGCAAGTTACTGAACCTCTCTGAGCCTCTTTCCTCATCCAGAAAGAGAATATGATAATAATGACCTCGTAAGATGATTGTGGGGACTGGAGATAATGTACATAAGGCACCTCATAAATCGCCGAGCAGGTGCTTGCACAGCAAGTGCTCAGTAGTAGTTAGTGGACGTCATCGTTAGCACCCTTACCTTGACTTCCTGGTTTTTGGCCTTCTCGAGCATGCGGAGCGCTCGCTGGTGGGCGGCCTCGAGCTGAGCTTTCGCCACCTGATTCTGCTGGATGCTCTCCTGGAGCTCGCGGTCGGAGAGCTGCTTGAGTGCCCGCAGGTCCTCCCTGTAGTTGCTGGTGCACTGCTCCAGAGCCTGCTGCATCTGCGAGACCTGCCCGCCAGAGCATCCGACCTCAGGCTGTGCCCCTCACCCCGCCTGGGATTTTCTTTAAATATAAAAGCTTTCTGAACGTCTCTGCAGCCCAGCTGAGCCTCCTCTATCCAAGGGAACTCTGAGCGGGGTAGAAGCTGCAAGCGTAAAGAATCCGGGGACAGCCAGCTCTCCTGGGGGCTCCTCAGCTAGAGCCATGGATGCCAGGGAACAGGGAAGAAGGGCTGGAACGTATGCCCCCCAAGAGAAATCACGAGACCAGAAAACCCTCCAAAGGTCTACACAGCAGCCTCCCTTGCGTGCCCCCCCGTGCCCAAATCTCACTTTCTTACAGAAGCTTTCCCTGACAACCCTATTTGGCATTATACGCACCCTCTCATCACCAGACAGCCTCCAAATCTCCTTCCTCCTGCTGCTTTTTCTTTTTCCTGAAGCCCTTAACGTGTTCTAATATACTATGTGCTTTGCTTATTTCCTATGTCTAGTATTTTTTGTCTGTATCCACCTCCTCTGCTAAAATACAAGCTCTGTAATGCAGGACTTTTGTCTGGTTTGTTCACTGACGATATCCAAGCACCTAGAAGAGTTCCTGGCTCCTAGCAGGCGCTCATGAGCCATAGCAGGTGTTGAATGAATAAATAAACAGAACCAAGAATCCCACCTCGCCCTGGACCTGGAATACCCTCCCCAGCTTGAACAAGAATCAGGCCCTGCATGCATTTCCAAGGTTGTCTGCAAGACTAAGGAAGAGGTAGGGTCTCACTCAGGATGAGGGTGCATCCCCACCACGGCTGTCCTTCTACCTGGGCTTGCAATTTGGCCTTCTGGCTCTGCCACTCCTCCTGCAGACGCTGGATTTCCGGTGCCTTCTCCTTCGGCAAAGAGCCCAGCAGAGGCTGCAGGTCACCTCCCTCCTTGAGGGGCACTTTGATCCTTTGAAGATATGGAGGCCAAAATCACAAAAGATCCCAGGCTGGAAATGACATGGTCACCCTGATAGCATCTCAGCCACTCGGCTGGGGGAAGGGAGCTCCGATGGCAGCTAGTTGAATGAGAGACATCTCACTTGGACTTTAAAAAGCCACTTGACTACAAATTCTCAGTGCTATTGCACTTGGGATACTGTCAAGATTCAGCTGGAATCACCCGGCATCTGTTTTAGTGGGTGCTTAATAAATGATGATTAATTGTCAGAATGACTGAGAGCTTAGAGTTACTTATATGGGGTCCCTGGGGGCTTCAAAAGAGGAGGTCTCTGTGGTCTAATTTCACAACTTTTCCTGCATATGGAAAGAAATAACAAAACAATGATGCTTTACTTGAATACAGTACTTTACACTTTTCAAAGCACACTCAAAACTTTTACTGGCTGTTCACAGCTATAGATAGGAGGATTATAAATAGGCCTTTTTGTGTGTGTAGCAAGAACAAGAAAACGCTGGTATAAAGGTCCAGTAGTTTCTGTATTCTAGAAGAGATGCTGACAAATATTTTTGGAGGAGACTTTCCTGTACTCAGTTCTGGGCTTTTAAACCAGCTGAGAAATTCAAATGTGATTGGTTGAGATTGTAAAGTTAAGTATTTATCCTGTTTAACAGTGCAAAAGGATGCCACATGGTGGGCATCTCTGCCAAGATTGCTGGGACTCAATGACGTTTTGCTTCCTCTGGCAAAGACATCAGGCCAGAGGACCAGAGGTTAGGGAGTTAGGGCCCTGGACTGCGAAGAAAGGCCATGATAAGGACTCTGGCTTGGCAGAGGTGAAAAGGCCCAGCAACATGGACAGAGGGGACCCTTGAAAAGAAGGGCAGGATGCTAAGGGCAGCATAGCAAAGTGGTTAAGAGCATGGACACTAGAGCCAGATTGCCCAGGTTCAAATTCCAGCTCTACTACACTGGTTATGTGACCTTGGCTGAGCTCTTCAAATTGTCTGGGTTTCCTCTTCCATAACACGGGGTTAATAATAGTACCTTTCACACAGATTGTTATAAACCTTAATAGAGTAAATATCTTAAAAAATGCTTAACATTATGTCTGGCACATAGTTAATAATCACATAAAAAATTAATCAAACATTTAATAAATTGAGAAGTTTTCTTTCTCTGCATCCTAATTCTCTTAGGTTATTCTCAAACTTTTGGAAGCTATGCTAAACATAACCATATTTAAGGAACAATAAAGGGGAGATACCTTGGTCTGAGCCCTGGTTAGGAGAAGCCAGAGGTGATAGACAGTGAAGCAGTCTAGAGCAAGAATGATAAGTGACACTACCAGGCTGGATGTGTGGAACAGGTAAACTTTCCCTGGGGAGGGGACCAGACTTTCTCCCAGGGCTCAGTTATTACTTTAAAAAACGTTTTATTGAGGTAAAGTTTACATTATTGAAATTATGTGTACAGTTCAATGAGTTTTGACAAATACACACAACCATAAAAGCAACACCCCAATCAAAATATAGAACATTTTCATTACCCAAAAATTTCCCTGCACCCTCTTCCAGTCAATCCACCATCCACAGGCAGCCAAGGCTTTGATTTCCATCACCATAGATTAGTTTTGCCTGATCTTAAGCATCATACAAACAGAATCACCTGGTACTACATAATGTCTCTGGAATTCAACCACATTGTTGCAAATGTCAGTAGTTCATACTTTTGGCTGCTGAGTAGTATTTCATTACATGAATACACCATGATTTGTGTATCCATTTTCCTACTGATAAACAACATTTCAGCTGTTTTCACTTCTGGATTATTATGAATAAAGCTGTTAGAAACATCCCTGTACAAATATTTTTGTGGATATATGTTCCCATTTCTTTTGCTTAAATACCTAGAATTGGAATTGCTGGTAGGTATATGCTTAATTTTTTAGGAAACTATCAAATGGTTTTCCAAAGTGGTTGTACCATTTCACACTCCCAGGAGCAATGCATGAGATTTCCAATCACTCTACATCATTCCCAACATTTTGTGCTGTCAGTCTTTTAATTTTAGCCATTCTGGTAGGTGGGAAATGGTATTTCCTTTTGGTTTTAAGTTGCATTTCACTAATGACTAATGATGTTGAGTACATATTCATGTGCTTATGGGCCATTCATATATCTTTTTTATGGAAGTGTCTATTCAAACATTTTGTCCATTTAAAAAATATGCTTGTCTTTTTATTGTTGATTTATAGGTCTGTGGCTTGTCTATTCATTTTCTCACTGGCATTTTTTTAATGAGCATACATTTTAATTTTGATGAAGACCAATTTATCAATTGTTTTTGATGATTAGTATTTTCATGTCCTAAGAAATCATTTCCTACCCCAAATTTTCAAAGATATTTTCCTATGTATTATAGTTTTAACTTTATGTTGAGATCTAAGGAACATCTCAAATTAATTTTTACGCATGGGGTGAGGTAGAGGTTGAAGTTTATTTCTTCTCATATGTTTATCCAGTTCCAACACCATTCGTTGAAAAACTTTTCCTCTCCCTATTAAATTGCCTCAGCACCTTTAAGAAAAATTAATCTAACATCTTTGTGCAGGTCTACTTCCAGAACCTTCATTGTTTTTCATTGACCTATTTGTCTATCTATATACTGCTACCATATAGTCTTTATTACTCTTCATAATGTCTTAAAATCAGGAAAGCCTGAGTCCTCCAGCTATGTTCTTCAAGATTCTTCTTTTATCTAGGTCCTTTGCTTTTCCATATCAATATTCAGAACAGCTTATTTATTCCTACAAATAGGGCTATTGGGATTTTATATGGGATTGAACTGAGTCTATAGCTCAATTCAGAGTAAATTAAGATCTTAACAACATTGAATATTTCGATCATGATCATTCTGTCTATAAATAAATATACTTTTATTCTTCCTTTCTAATTTGTAGCTCTTTTTCTTGCTTTATAGGACTGGCTAGGACCTTCATGACAATGTTAAGTAGTGAAAGCAGAATTTTTGCCCTGTTTCAAATTTTAGGAGGAACGTGTTCAACATTTCACCATTATGCATGTTTACATAGTTTATCATAGATGATCTTTTTCAGGTTGAAGAAATTCTCTTCTATTCATGGACTGAAGAGTTTTTATCACGAAAGGATGTTAAATTTTGTCGAATGCTTTTGTATGTCTATTGATATGATTCTTTTTTTAAATAATTTAAAAAAAATATTTATTTATTTTTATTTTTGGCTGCCTTGGGTCTTTGTTGCTGTGCGTGGGCTTTTCTCTAGTTGCAGCGAGCAGGGCCTACTCTTCGTTGCAGTTCATGGGCTTCTCATTGGGTGGCTTCTCTTGTTGCAGAGCACGGGCTCTAGGCATGCGGGCTTCAGTAGTTGTGGCACTCGGGCTCAGCAGTTGTGGCTCACGGGCTCTAGAGCACAGGCTCAGTAGTTGTGGCACAAGGACTTAGTTGCTCCGTAGCATGTGGGATCTTCCTGGACCAGGACTCGAACCTGTGTCCCCTGCACTGGGAGGTGGATTCTTAACCACTGCGCCACCAGGGAAGTCCCGATGTGATTCTTTTTTCCCTTTATTTTTTAATGTGATGAATTACATGATTACCATTCAAATGTTAAACCAACCACGCATTCCTGGTGGAACCACGCTTCTTGAGTATGTAAATTGATGTCCCACACCAGTTTGGGGGAATTTTCAGTCATTATTTTTCCAAATATTTTTTCCTCCTCCATTTTCTTTCCCTTTTTTCTCTTGGGCTCCAAATACATGCATATTAGACCATTTCACATTGTCCCATGAGTCAGGAAGAATCTCTTCATTTTTAAAAAATCTTTTTTTCCCCTAATTCTCTGAACAAGACAGTTTCTACTGATCTGTCTTCAAGCCACTAACTTTTCTTTCATGGTTTTAATTTGCTGTTAAGCCCATCCAATGAGGTTTTCATTATGGCTATTGTACTTTACAGTTTTAGAATTTCCGTTAGTTTCAAGGTTTTCATTTCTCTGCTGAAATTCCCTATTTGTTCACTCATTATAACAATCTTTTCCTTTATGTCCCTGAACATAGCTCATACAACTGCTTTCAAGTCCTTGTCTGCTAATTCCAATATCTAGGTCATTTTCAGCTTTATTGCCTGGTCTTTTTCTTGATTACAGGTCGCACTGTTCTGCTTCCTTCCACGTCTCATAATGTTTTCATCAAATGCTCAATATTGTGGATAATACAATGTAGGGAGTCTGTATTATGAATTCCTTTCAAAAGTGTTTAGTTTTGTTATGACAGCCAGTTAAATTACTGAAGGCTCTTTCTGATCCTTTTATGCTTGGATTTGTCTTTTGTTAGAGCAGGTATATTTCAACATTATCCTTTGTTCTAGGGTGTGGCCCTTACCCTATAGGGTATGTTTCTTACTCCTAAAGTGTTACTTTTCTGAGGTCTCAACTAAATGCTCCGAGAGCTCAGAAAGGCTTTTTTATTCTGGCTGAGCTGAGACTCCAATGTCTGCTAGCATTGAATCTCTGGTATCTTCATTTTCCTCAGCACCATGGCAGCAGCACACTCCTAGGCCTCATGGAGTCTCATCTTGTACATGCTCACTCAAGCCCCTGGCAAGGACCTATAGAAAACCCTCATAGATTTCTGCCCTCTATCCCCCCCACATAGGATCCTCTCTTCCGGTATCCTACCTTACAAAGTCTAGCTGCTTTGGCAGCCCTGAGCCCTGACATCTGCCTGCTCAGCTCAGCTTGCCTCCAATTCTCTGCACTGTGGTTGGCACTGTCCCCAGGGAGAGAGACAGGAGCAAATGTGGGGTGATTATGGGATTCAACTCATGTTTCCCTTCTGAAGGACATGGTCCTTCTCTGCATATTGTCCTACTACTCAAAAGAGCTGTCTCATATATTTTGCTCAGTTTATAGTTGTTTACAGAAAGAGGGAAAGTCTAGTACCAGTTACCCTGTCATGCCTGGAAGTGGAAGTTTCAGTCCTTATTATTGAGTATTAAAGGAGAGAGTGACCTTGGAAAAGTAGAAAAACTGTGGAACTTCATGTGGCACATAAGAACAGCTGCCTTAAGTTGAGATGTAGTTAAAAGCGTGAGTTCTGGAGCCAGAGAAGCTATCATCTGGATCCTACCATCTACTGGCAGTGTAAGTAGATGGGCAAGTTACTTAACCTCTCTGTTCTTCAGTTTCCCTCATCTGTAAAATGAAGTACTTCAGGGACTTTGCGGGTGGTGCAGTGGCTAAGAATCCACCTGCCAATGCAGGGGACATGGGTTCGAGCCTTGGTCTGGGAAGATCCCACATGCCATGGAGCAACTAAGCCCGTGTGCCACAACTACTGAGCCTGCGCTCTAGAGCCCATAAGCCACAACTACTGAGCCCGCGTGCCACAACTACTGAAGCCCATGAGCCTAGAGCCCGTGCTCTGCAACAAGAGAAGCCACTGCAATGAGAAGCCTGCGCATCACAATGAAGAGTAGCCCCAGCTTGCCACAGCTAGAGAAAGCCCGCGTGCAGCAGCAAAGACCCAACGCAGGCATAAATAAATAAATAAATATTTTAAAAAATAAAATAAAATGAAGTACTTCAATAATGGTGTCTACCTAATGAAGATGAAATGGGTTAATCCAACACTCAGTAAATATTTATTATTTTCATCATCATCATTATTCCCTGGAACACCACTAATGGGAATTCCCCTCTCTTACTCCATTTTATTGCCCCAAATTCCCTCATATCCTAAAAACCTGATCTTATCCTACCATCTCTCACAAAGCAAGCCATAGCTAACTCTCCTGACTCCCCATACTCCCTTTGAAGTTGACTGTGACCTGCTACCCCCCACCTTAAATCAACAGCCACTGGAAAAGCCACCTCCCTCTTACAGCCACCATGCCAAAAGTTTCCTGACAAGCATCCTTCAAGGGGTTAACTACTGAATACACAGCCTCACCCCTTAAAGGAGCAAATGCGTTTGTTCTGTCCTGCAGCCTCTAACCTTGGATCTTTCTATTCCTTTCTCATCACTGCTTAGTCCTTACACTCCCACTAAAATCACTGTGGAAGAAGCTTACAGACCCCACACCTCCTCATTTTGTTCTATAGTTGAGGAACCCCTTTATCAATATAGCTATGTGGGAGAAAAAGACAAGTCTGTTGTGACCACCACTGCTGTTGCTCTGCCCAGCATCTTCTCCTTGGGGAAGCCTTTCCTCTTTCCATGTGGTCCTGTTTAGTCCACAGGGTTTGGGTGCAGCTAACTCTGCCCTCATCATTAGCTGGCCCCAGGGAAGGGCATGTGACACATACCTGGCCAATCAGAGCCAGGCATCTCCTTGGCCAGAAAGACTGGCTCAGAGATGCACATGTGCCCCAAGCAGGGCCCCTTAGAAAACTCTTTCAAATTCCTGCCAGTATTTTCACAGTAAAGATTATTTCTTTCCCTTTGGAATTGTGAGTTTTAAACAGGACAAGATTTGTGGATGCCAGTGGTAAGTGACAGTACCAGGATTTAGTCTGGAGGCCTGACTCCAGAGTCTGTGCTCTTTAACTTCTATGGTTCTACACCTCATAGATCCTGAGACAGAATCTGGGGGGACCTGTGGAAGTATTATTAGCTGAAGAGTTCACTGGACTACAGGGTACCCGACACTGCCACTGATATGATTTAGGAGTGTAGGCTCTGCTTCCTCAATGCTATAAGTGTTTCTGTCCCCTCAAAATTCATATTTTGAAGCCTATTGCCCAATATAATGGTATTAAGAAATGAGGCCTTTGGATTCTTTACAGACCTAGAACAAAAAAATCTTAAAATTTGTATGGATACACAAAAGATCCCAAATAGCCAAAGCGGTCTTGAGGGAAAAGAACGGAGCTGGAGGAATCAGATTCCCTGACTTCAGACTATACTACAAAGCTACAGTAATCAAGACAATATGGCACCGACACAAAAACAGAAATATAGATCAATGGAACAGGATAGAAAGCCCAGAGATAAACCCACACACCTATGGTCAACTAATCTATGACAAAGGAATAATGGAAATAAAAACAAAAATAAACAAATGGGACCTAATGAAACTTAAAAGCTTTTTCAAAACAAAGGAAACTACAAACAAGACGAAAAGACAATCCTCAGAATGGGAGAAAATATTTGCAAATGAATCAACGGACAAAGGATTAATCTCCAAAATATATAAACAGCTCATGCAGCTCCATATTAAAAAAACAAACAACTCAATCCAAAAATGGGCAGAAGACCTAAAGAGACATTTCTCCAAAGAAGACATACAGATGGCCAAGAAGCACATGAAAAGCTGCTCAACATCACTAATTATTAGAGAAATGCAAATCAAAACTACCATGAGGTATCACCTCACACCAGTCAGAATGGGCATCATCAGAAAATCTACAAACAATAAATGCTGGAGAGGGTGTGGAGAAAAGGGAACCCTCCTACACTGTTGGTGGGAATGTAAACTGATACATCCACTATGGAGAACAGTATGGAGGTTCCTTAAAAAACTAAAAACAGAACTACCATATGACCCAGCAATCCCACTATTGGGCACACACCCAGAAAAAAACATAATTCAAAAAGACACATGCACCCCAATGTTCATTGCAGCACTATTTACAATAGCCAGGACATGGAAGCAACCTAAGTGTCCAGACAGATGAGTGGATAAAGAAGATGTGGTACATATATACAATGGAATATTACTCAGCCACAAAAAGGAACGACATTGAGTCATTTGTAGAGACGTGGATGTATCTAGAGACTGTCATACAGAATGAAGTCAGAAAGAGAAAAACAAATATAGTATATTAATGCATATATGTGGAATGTAGAAAAATGGTACAATTTTTGCAGGGCAGAAACTGAGATACATATGTACAGAACAAACATATGGACACCAAAGCAGGAAAGTGGCGGTGGGGGGTGGTGGTGGGATGAACTGGGAGATTGGGATTGACATGTATACACTAATATGTATAAAATGGATAACTAATAAGAACCTGCTGTATAAAAAAATAAAATAAAATTCAATAAATAAATAAATAAATGTGAATACCCATTTAAAAAAAAGAAAAAAAGAAAAAGAAATGAGGGCTTTGGAAAGTGATTAGGTCATGAGGGTGAAACCTCCATGAATGGGATTAGTGCCTTTATAAAACAGACCCTAGAAAACTCCCTTGCCCTTCCACCTTGTGAAGACACAGTGAAAAGATGCCTTCTATAAGCTAGAAAGTGAGCCCTCACCAGACACAGAACCTGCCATCACCTTGACCTTCGATTTTCCAGCCTCCAGAACCGTAGAAATAAAGTTCTGTTGCTCATAAGCCACTGCTAAGCAGTCCGAATGGACTATGCCAACCAACTACTTGAAGAGCTGCCAGATGGTAGCATGGCTTCCATGTCATCTGTCAGGACCCCACACAGCCGTTGATTAGTGTGGGGCAGTGGATTATAACTATGGTGGCCTCAGAATCACCTGGGAAGCTTTCTCAAAAGACATAGGGCTGGGATGTACCCAGACCCACTGTATCAGAATCTTGTGAGGTGGTGTGACAGATCATTATTGTTCAGCAAATATTCACTCCCCTTCCTCTGCCTTGTGTGATGTTATGGATTGAATTGTGTCTCCCCAAATTTACATGTTGAAGCTCCAATCACCATTGGTGGTATTTGGAAATAAGGCCATGGGAAGTAACTAGGTCAGGCCAGTGGAGCCCTCATGGTGAGATTAGTGTCCTTATAAGAAGAGACACAAGAGAGACCTCCTCCCGCACTGTCTTCCACCTTTCTCTTCACCATGTGAGGACACAAGAAGAAGATGGCCACGTGCAAACCAGGAAGAGAGTTCTCACTAGGAACTGAATGGACCAGCACCTTGATCTTGGACTCCCCAGCCTCCAGAACTGTGAGACATAAACTTCTTCTGTTGTATGGTATTTTGTTATAGCAGCTCAAGCTAACTAAGACATGTGGCAAGCATATTCTCCTCTGCCTAGGGATATTAGTTTTGGTCATGTGACTTTCTTTGGCCGATGGAATGTGGGTAAAAATGAGAGAATGCAGTTCTGAGTGTAGGCTTTAAGAGGCACTGCATGTTTCCATCAGATTTTTTGAGTTTCCTCCCTTTACCATGACAACAACATGCCCTGGACGGGCTAATCCATCAGTCTCAGTCCCAGCATGGGAAGGCATCTGAGCAGACTTAAACTCTACCCATGGTTTGGGGCAGAGCAATAACAGCTGACTCTCAGTCAGGAGCCAAGCTCATAAAAATAGCAGAGCTTGGCAGAGCCAAGAATAAAGATAGCTGACCTATGAGCTAAAACCACCGATATTTGGGGAATGTTGGTTACAACAGCAAAAGCTGACTAATATAGGTGATAAAGGTGGGAGATTTCCACTCAGTGACTAAGCTCCCTCATCTCCCTTACTTAGTTAAGAACACTTGGAAGAATAGGGAGCAGAGGTTTGGGGCCAGTCCAGGTCTGTCTGAATTTGGGGCAGTTTATTAACCCTTTTGAGTTTCAGGTTCTTAATATACAAAAGGGTCCCTCTGGGTTGTTGTGACAATTAAATACGATAATTCAGGTAAAGTCCATAGCTGTGCTGGAGGCATACAAGACATGTCTGTTCCCTCCCTAAGCATCATGCAGGGGGCGGTGATAAACACGTGAGGACAGAATGAATGAATGAATGAATCCTTCCAAGTCTGAGTCCTCATTCACTGGAGCCCTCAGAAGCCTGCCTGTCCTCCTGTACCTTTCCTCTTCATCGCTGTTGGTTCCTTCTTCAGCTGCTAACTTATCTTGAAACTCTTCTCCTCTGCGCAGAGTCTGAGAGGGTTCATTCGGCCTCAAGCACGGATCCTAAGGCAAAAACAGTTGCAAGATGAGACGAAGTACAGTTCTCTGAGTCAACTTGTGGTTTATCAAACCAGAGGGTGGAGGAGAAAGAGCCCCCTGCAATCCAGTGGCAGTGCCCAGCTCGCAGGCCTGTGCTGATTCAGTGCTGAGCCCCCTGCCTTGCTTAGGAGCAGTGTCAGCCCTTATCCCTGTGTCCTGTTTCCAGTCTACCAAGCATGTCAAACAGCTGACGAAATTAAACCGCGGAGCGAGGAAGTAGCTTGTCCACGGTTCCCACCAGTGGGGAGTGGAAATGAAATGCCATTGGGGAATCTGACCCTGCTGTGGGGATCTGAGAACAGTGCCAGCAACAGCCACTGGTCTGTAAGTGGGAGCAACTGGTATTATTATTATACGCATTTTACAGGTGGCAGTCTGCTACATCCTATCACACAGGATCAGAAAACCTGGAACTTGCCCAGAAGCTTCGAGAAATGGGGTATGGTGGGAGGACAATATGGAAACCATGAGGTAATCATGAGGCTTCGGAATTTTCTATGAGGTTGAATTTGTCTGTTATCATTTCCCCTTTCTGCAGAGATAGAAAGGTGAAGACTTTCTTATTTTGATTCTTCTACTTGTTACAGTAACCACTGTCCATGGAAAACAGGGTAAGACAGGCTAGGACAGATTTCTTTGTTGAGAAATCTCATTAGATAATAATAAATTGCAACCTGGGCTTCCTGCTAACTATGTGCCTGGCCTTGAGCCAGTCTTGTCTGTTTTTTCTGGACCTGAGCTTCATCAGCTGTAAAACAAAGGGGTTGGTGACATCTGTGGTTTTCAAACTGTGCTCCAACCCTGGGAGATGCCCTCGGGGGTGAGAGGGACAAAGCTGAGGCTGGAAGATGGGGCCTTGGGCTCCCCTCCCCACTTGACACAGAATGAAACTGCTTTGGTTGCCTTCCATGTACTCTAATGTCTATGAAAGGCCACCAGTGTCAAGGCCAATGATGACCTCCACGTTGCCAAATCCAATGGTCACTCCTCGGGCCTCAGCTAACGGGACCTCTCTGCAGAACTGGAAATATCTGATCACTCCCTCCTCCATGCAGCCCCCTCTCCTGGGTTTCCGCCTCTCTTGCAGCTGCTCCTTTTCGGTCTCCTCTGCTAAAACCTCCTCCTCCCCTGCCCTAGACCTCAGTCCTTGGACTTCTCTTTTCTCTCTCACTCCCTAGTGTCTCATCTAATTCCATGGATACTGATGACAAACAAATTTATCTCTATTTCCAAGTTTCCCCCTAAAGTCTGGACTTGTATATCCAACTGCCCTCCAGATATCTCTTGGATGCTTAATAAGCTTCTCAAAACTGTCACACGTCCAGAACTGAACACTTGGTCTCACTTCCTCCAAACGACAAGCACGTACCTGCTACAGGGCCTTTGCACTGGGTGTTTCCGCTGCCTGCAATGCTCTACCCTGTGATATTTATGTGCTTCCTCACTTCAGTCACCACCACCAAGAATCTTTCCCTTGTTTAAAGCTTGGGCTCTGGCAGCAGACTGCCTATGTTTAAATCCCAGTTCTTCTTATTGATGAGGTAACTTTGGGAAAATTACTTAGGTTGTCGTGAGGATTAAATGCATGTAAATGTAAACGAATGTAACATCCTTGGAACAGTATTAGCTACACAGTAAGTACTCAAAATAACATTCCCCAGGATTATTCTCTGACTACCCTTCTCTAAAATAACACCCCCTCTCACTTTCTTTTTCCCACCTTGCTGTACGACCTCACTGTTTGTTTTCCGGTGACGTTAATTGTCTACTTTTTTATTCTGGTTCCCTCACTGGAAGGTAAGCCCCATGAGGGCAGGGACTCTGCTCTGTTTCACCATTGTTTTCCTGGTTCCGAGGACAGTGTGTGGCACGTGGTTACGCTCGGTAAACATGACATAAATAAACCCAAATAACTCATGGGCCACTCTAGGACAGCAGGAGGACCATTTTCTCCCACACTCACCCCACGCTCCCATCACGTCCCCTGGGGGCAACAGCTGGGACTAACTGCACTTCTCGTGAGAAATCTGCAGGGCACGCGGCTGGAAGGTGTGGGTGTAGGGATGGCTGTGGCCCAAACTTTGGGTGTCTTCCAGCTCTGCTCAGGAGCCCTTAGTGCCTTCATAATTCTTAAGTTCTGAGAACTTTGTGGTGTCTCTAAGTAGGACAAAATCTTGATCCCATGTTGGACCCCTCCGAAGAATCAGGGTGGTGGGGCATTTGGGAAGTGACTGTCCACCCCTGCTCAGAGGACCTGTCCAGAGTGCCCAGCAGCACAGCTTGTTAGACGCTAAGGGGCCATTCTGCCTCCACAGCCATTCTACCTAAGCCCTTGTCTTCCCTTTGCGGGTGATGTGTTCTGAGCCAACGTAGTTAAGTCAGAGCTACATTTCCCAGGATTCCCTTCCCTGCATATTCTGGGCCAGCTGACTTTGTGCAAGGTCTGGAAGATGAGCACAAAGCAGCAGGCTTTATCTTTCTAAGCCTCTGGATGCCTGATGCAGGGCGCCAGGGGTGGCTGGAGCTCACGCGCACCGTCACCAATCTGCTGGCTCAGCTTGGTGGACCGGGCAGTTTGGGAGCTCTCAGCTCTTCTGCCTCCTGCTGGACCATCCCTAGGCTTCTCCGTGTCCTGGCCCAAGGGCATGTTTGGCTCTACGATGAAGGATGCCAGACTCTCCCACAGGTCACACGTATCACCAAAGCTGGAGCTTCGTCAGCCTCAGAAACTGACACTGTTCCAGCTCAGTTTCAGGGTTGTATTCGCCCTTGGTCTTCCCCATTCTACATCTGTCCTTCTTTCCTTCTGGCTGCCTGCCCTGCTTTAGGCCCACTTTAAGCCCCACACCAGATTCCGGAGCAACAGTTGAACATAAAGTATTTAGCTGGCTCCCACAATTATGTCAGGTTATTTCCCAAAAGGAATTCCATATTCTATATCATTTCTAGTAATTTGTTCCTCTGGTCAAACCCTAACTGATGCACACTCTTTAATCTCCAGACCCCACTTATCCTTCAAAGCTCTACTCAACTGTCACTTCCTCCATGAAGCCTTCACAATCTCTTTTGTTGCAATTACCCTCTTTCTTCTCAAAGTTCCCATAACAGTTATTTTGGTACCATAATTTGTTCACAATATTTAGTGGTCATTTACTACGTTCCAGGCACTGTTCCAGGACACAGCAATAAATGAAACAGACAAAAGTTTTTCTGCTTTGTATTAGTTATAGAAGTGTTCTCTCTCTCCCATCCTGGAAGATAAATGAGGGTAAAAGTAATCCCAGATATAGTTTTCAAATTGTTATAAGTCCTACAGCCAGTAACTAAGAACGTTCAGCATGGCCATTTTCCATTGCCTGAATCCTCTCTCTTCAGTGTTTGTAACTGGACACTGAAGTCTAACTGGTTGACATGCTCTAGGTGCAGGACCCAGTGAGTCTGGTTCATTGTTGTGCACTTTCAAAAATGATGTCACTGACCAGCTTACAACCTCCACGTGGACCTGAGGCTAAAAGGACCACCTTTGCCTTGTACTTTCAGGTATTTTGGGCATTGAATTATCTTGGAGCTCTCCAATTCTTATAAAGCCCAGAAGCAAAGATCATAATCTAAGCAAAAGAGCTTTGTGAGACGACTGTTATAAACACATGTTCTGTATAACGTGGGGAAAATTGCACAGTAAATATGGAACAACAAAAAAAATCAGAATAGCATAATACTATACTATAAATACATGATGACCAAAGTTAATTAGGTCCAGGTTTCAAAAGGAAAATGGAAGGTTACAAGGAAATTTTAGTAAAAAGAAAGCACAAAATATGTGGCCAAAACAATCTAAATGGTACCAGTAATCACAATAAATAAGAATTGGCTCAATTCAACATGAACATCTCTACCCTGGTAAAAGGAATCATTCACTAAAAAGCTCTAATAATGAAATTGTAGACACCTAACAACAGAGACTGAAAACATAAGGCAAAATGTACAGAAATGTAGGGAGAAATAAGCAAATTTATAGTGGGAGATTTTAATGCATACCTCTCAGAGACTCATACATCAGGTACACAAAATGAGCTAGGATAGGCAAGATTTGAACAAGATTAAGAAGCTAAGCCTAATAGCTAAAAAAGAATAGTAATCACTGCTGATGTTTATATGATGCTTAGTGTGCACCAGGCCCTCAACTCTCTGAGGTGTGAATCATTCCATTTTAAAGGTGATGAAACTGAAGCAGGAGAGGATATGTACCTTGCCCTAGGTCATACAGTGAATATAGCACAGAACTAGAATTCAAATATATAAACTTTAACAACCAAACTGAGACTACTTCTTTGCTCTCACATAGGAAACATTAAAAAAAACTGACCCCACAGCAGGCTACAAAGCAAATCTCAACATAGTTCAGAGTGTTGACATTCTACAGACCATATTATCTAATGACAATGCAATAAAATTAGAAAACAATAAGAAAGTAGGTTTAAAAATGAGACAAACTTCAAAACTCTGGGATACAGCTAAAGATATATACTTAGAGGGAAATTCATAGCCTTAAATGTATTTATTAGAGAACATTTAAGAAGTTAGATAAAGGATAACATAATAAACCTGAAGTAAGTAGAAGGAAAGAGGTATGAAAGACAAAATTAATGACATAGAAAAAGATAGATCTGACCAACATACCTGAAAGCTGGCTTTTTGAAAAGACACATCAAACGTGTAGTAAGACTGATCAAGGAAAAAGGGAGAAGGAACTTAAAGCAACATGAATAATTGGCAAATATCTCACAACAGTTATTATGGAGATGAAAAAGAAGTTCAAATGTACTCTGAGCCACTGTGAAGACCATGAAAGAGAATGTGCAGGATATAATTTCTGGGCTACCTTATCGACCACTGATATATCCTGGGCAGGAGTCCAGAAACAGGAGAGGATGGAAAATGCTTAAAAAGGCTGATGATGCACT